CTGCATTGTCTGATTTAGTCTGCAGTAACCGTGTGAGCCCATGTTATGGATGAGGAGACTGAAGCACAGAGAGATTGAGTAACTTGCTCAAAGTCATACAGCTAATGAGAGGTGAGGGAGATTTTCAAACCCAGATCTGTCTGCCTCCAAAGTCTGGATTCTCAAGTGGGTTGCTGTGTTGCTTCTCTGATTGGCAAACAGACCGTTATGCAAACGTGGTAAGTTCTGTGCTGGGAAAAATGCAGGGTGTTATCAGAGAATGGAGAAGAGTCACCTAACCACGTGGTGGTGGTGGTGGTGGTGGTGGTGGTAGGGGCTGTCAGATAAGATGCAAAATAGGCTGCAGCCGGAGGAGACTATCTGTATTTGGGGAGGGGCAGCAGAAACTGCCAGTTAAAGGGAACAGGATGTTCAGATCCTGGAGATGAAAGAGAAGGTTCATGCCTGACATGTTTGAGGAATGATAAGTGGTTCACTTTGGCTTGATTAGAGTGTGAGGGGAGAGAAAAGAAATAACAGAGATAAGAAACTAGGAATTTTGACCTTTTCCTGAGGGCATCAGAAAGTCACTAAAGAGATTTAAGCAGAGGCGTGAAATTAGATTTTCATTTTAGAAGACTCCTGTGGGAAGATTGGGGGGCGGGGGCAACGTTGTGTGGTTAGAGGCTGGAAGCCCTGTCAGGAAGCTTCTTCAGGAATCTGAGTGAGACATGATGGCAGCCTGCACTCAGGTCCTGGCTGTGGAGAGGGAGAGAAGTGGATCAATCTAAAGGAGATTGAGAGTGTATACATGTTAGGCCTTGATGACTGACGGGCAGGGGAGATGAGAGAAAGGGAGGAACCCAGAATAACACACCCAAGATTCCAGTATGTGGCATCACTGGTGGATTATAGGAGGTGGAGCAGGTTTGGAGATTGAGGGAGAGGGGTTTACCTTTGGATGTGCTCAGTTTTATCTGTGGAATCCAGGTGGAGATGGTTATTCAGCTGCTAGCTATGCAGATCCGAAGCTAGGTTTGCGGTGGGCTAGGTCATTGGTCATGGTAGAGAATGAAATCACTCTGGGAGTGTATGGAACGGGAAGAGAAGTGGGTTTACAGAGCCCTGAGGGCCAGCAAAACATCAGGGAGGGGCAGAGGAGAGAAGCCAGCAACAATGTGACCAGGGAAGTAGGTGTCAAAAACAACTGTGTGAGTAGGAAGGAGTGATCCACGGTGTTGACTGCTGCAGAGACGTCGGGTATGGTGGTGCCAGGAAAGTGTCCTTGGAAACTAGCAGCATGAGCGTTCTCAGCAAGAGCAGTGTCAGTGGCATGGGGGGCAGAAGCCTGCCTGCTTTGGGTTCAAAAGAGTAGGATGGGGGAAAAGTGAAAAAAAATATATAAGCAGTGCCTTCCAAATATTAATTCATTGTCAAGTGAGACATACAGGTTGCGAGAATAAATTTTTGCTTAAAAAACCTGCCAGCAGACTGTACAGTATAAGAAGATAGGAACTGGGCTGGCCTGTTAGCTCAGCTGGCTAGAATGTGTTGTTGGGCCTGGCCAGTTAGCTCACTTGGGAGAGCATAGTGCTGGTGATACCAAGGCCCATGGGTTTGGATCCCTGTACCAGCCAACTGAAAAAAAAAAAAAGAACGTGGTGTTGATAACACCAAGGTTCAGGGTTCCATGCTTGTTACTGGCCAACTGCCAGAACAAAAAAGAAACAAGAAGGACTGAAGACAAGGGTAGTGGCAGACAAGTGGCCATCAGGGCAGCCCACTGCTGCAAAAAATAAAATTCTGGGAACATACTGTTAACACTGGTATTGGTTATCTTGGGTGTTGGGAAATCCTAATTTCTTGTTGCATTTGAGTTTTTGCAAAGACAGTAGTTTTTATACTTTAGCATTTCTTTTTCTTTTGTGGCAGCTGGCTGGTTCAGGGATCCAAACCAGTTGTACTTTAGAATTTTTTTTTTTCCTTTTTGTCTTTTTTCGTGACCGGTAACGGGATCCCAACCCTCAGTGTCGCGCCTGTACCGCGACCGGCAACGGGATCGCAACCCTCGGTGTCGCGCCCGCACCGCACTCAACCAGTGAGCGAACCCGTCTCTATATGGGATCCGAACCCTCGGCGGAAGTGCCGCCGCGCTCCCAAGCACTGCACTCTACCGAGTGTGCCACCGGGCCCGCCCGTACTTTAGAATTTTTAAGATTAAAGGTTGCTAATTGAAGAAAGTTGTAGAGCTTTTGTTTTCATTTCTTAAGTCATTCAGGATGGGCTTTGAGCATATTAACGTGGAGAGGAAAAGGAGCCAAAAGGGAGGGAAACATTGCAGGGACAGGAAAGACAGCACCATTGATGGGGCCAGGGTCAAGAGAAGGGAGGAGGAAGTGGGATCCAGGGCTCCTGTGGAGAGATGAACTTTCGACCAGATGGAAGGAGAAGGAGATGGTAGCACGTCCGAGTGGGTTTACTGGGGGGGCTTCAGGGCTGGGATGAAACAGGTTATGTGCTTGGAATGAGAGAGGTGGGGTCAGAGGTCGAGAGAGGAGCAGTTTCATGGGCTCAGAACCTGAATGTAGACAGAGATCTGCCTGTTGTGTGAGGCATAGTGGCCTGGAGCTAGGGAGGGGGACTGCTAGCTGCAGCCACAAAGGAATGGGTCGTCTTCAAGCATAACCAAGTGGAATTGGTTTGGAAACCAGGAGGATGGCCAAGTCAGTGGAACGGGGCTGGCCCTCTGGTGGTGGCTGTTCCCTCAAGAGAAAGAGCACATTTCCATGGGACAGAAGATGCAGAGAACGTTAGTGAGGGGGTGGGTGTTTCACTTTGGGAAGGATGTTCGAGAGGATACAGTGGCGAAGTTTGAAGGGGAGAGGAGCAGAGAGATTGGGTCAGGGGAGAGAAATTGGCCATGTGGAGATGAGATTCCAGAAAGACTGGCCATATGGGGAAGTTTATGTCTTGAGACAGAGCTTATCAGGCATCAGGAACATGAGGCAAGATGGCAACCACAAAGTGGCTAAGACAGGTGGTGTTCGGTTGGATAGGATTTCTCTTGGGACACAGCCTGTGGCTGCACCGGTTGTGATTCTGAGAGTCCTCTCTCATGGATGGGCGTAGCTAGCTCGGCCTTAGACAATTTGGGCTGGTTGTGGAGCCGTCTGTGGGTCCCGAGGTTGGCAGTGGAGACATTGGCGGGTTTACTAGCAACAGCTGCCCTGATGCCACTTGTCTGCCACCACTCTTGCCTTAATCCTCATTTTCCTGTATTTTAATAACTGCACAGTCTATCAGTAGGTCTTTCTTTCTTTCTTTTTTTTTTTTTTTTTTCCTTTTTTGTCTTTTGTCGTGTCCGGCAACGGATCACAACCCTCAGTGTCGCGCCCGTACCGGACCGGGACCAGCAACGGGATCGCAACCCTCGGTGTTGCTCCCGCGCCTCGCTCAGCCAGTGAGCGGGAACCGGTCTGTATGTGGGATCCGAACCCTCGGGCGGGAGCGCCGCCGCGCTTCCCAAGCGGTGCACTGTAGCAGTGCGCCACCGGGCCGGCCCCAGTAGGTCTTTCTTCAGATTCTTGAAACTTGAACTGTCCTCTGTTTTGCTGTAAGATTAATTTTATTGAAGCCCTGCCTTTGGCACATTCAGCCTGTAGTTATTCATTATTATGTATCGGAGCAAGTCAGACCAAGTACAGGCATACCTCGCTTTTTCTTTTTCTTAAAGAAAAGATGATGGGTGAGGGGATCTTAACCCTTCACTTGGTGTTGTCAGCACCATGCTCACCTAGTGCGTAACCTGCCATCCCTATATGGGATTCAAACCCGTGGCCTTGGTGTTATCAGTACCACACTCTCCCGGGTGAGCCACTGGCCGGCCCATATCTCGCTTTTTTGCACTTCGCTTTATTGTCCTTCGCAGGTATTGCATTAATTAAAATTGGTTTGTGGCAGGCCTGCATCGAGCAGGTCTGTTGGTGCCATTTTTTCAACAGCATGTGCTCACATCTTTTCTCTGTGTCACATATTGGTAATTCTAAGAATGTAACACTCGACCATACACACACAGACATACACAGACACACACACACACACACACACCTTTGCTCACTCTCCTTTCCCATCTCTCTCCTTATTTATTCCTCCCTCTTTATTACTAGTCTTTCATGGTATAGTAAGTGCCACCAGTGTTAATATTCAGTTTGTGGCAAGTTAAGTTCTGTTATTTTTTACTTCCAAAGCAATTCAGACATTTTTCTGACTTCAGTGACACCATCCTTGTCAAAGCCACCGAGATACCTTCCTTACACTACGCAATAGCTTCTTAACTCATGTCTCTGCTTTTCCTGTCATTCCACCATCCACTGTCCACTATGAAGCCAGACTGACCTTTGAAAAACATACCAGATCATTTTATTCCCCTGCTTTAGTGATTTTTCTTTGCACTTAGAATAAAATCACAAGTACTTGTTCTGGCACTAGGGGCTGTGTAGAATTGGTTTCTCCCTGCCTCTTCAGTTTTGCCTTAGCTTGTCTTCGCCTCACTCACCATGCCACGGACACGCCAGCCTCCTTTTTGTTCTTGGACTCATTGAGGTCTGTCTTACCTCAAGGCTTTGCACATGCTCGTCCCTCTGTCTGAACACTCATATATCTGGTTCCCTCTCATCTGTCATGTCTCTTTTCAACTGTCACCTCCTTGGAAGCCTTTCCCGACCATCCTATTTTAAATATCCCCTACTTACTCTGTCACATTAGCTTTATTTATTTGTTTTATTTGCATTCTGGTTGCCCCTCCCCCCATTTGCACACACAAACTCTTGAATGGAAGTTTCATAAAGGCAGGGACCTCCTCATTATTGTTCATTGCTGTATCTATACCTAGCAGAGTGTCTGGAACTCGGTAGGTCCTCAGATATTTGTTGAATGATGGCTGTGCTTTATTAAATCCTTTTCTCATTAATCCTGTGCACTCAGTTAAATGGAATGAAATATGTTTGATGTTCTCTATCTAGTTTGAATTCTTGGGATCTTCTTAGCCGAGTGAGAGCATATCTCCCAGTTGGTGACAGATGTGATGTTCTCCCGGTTGCTATTGATTGTCCGAAGACAAAGAACCAGCCCAGGATGGCAGAACTGGTCCTCTGCAAGAAGAAGTGCGTCAGCTGCCGAGGCGCATTCTGTCGCCCTGCCTACTCAGGCACAGGTGGTGATCTGTGGTGGTGGAATCATGGGCACATCCGTGGCCTATCACCTCTCCAAGATGGGGTGGAAGGATATTGTCCTTTTGGAGCAAGGCAGGTAAGGATCAAACTGGACTTGGCTTATGGCTTTGCTGCACTAATCATATAGGGTGCCCTCTTTCCCTCTTCTTTTGGTGATATATGTTATCCCACCAGTAGCTAATCTAAATGTTGCTAAGTAGCATGAGGAGAATCAGGGTGAAATCCCTGTACTTTATTTAGCTATGCCTAATAATCTCATGTTTTCTGATTTTGAGAGAGGTGGCAGATTTCAACAAAGCAAGTGTCTTAAAGGACTTAATTTAGTTGAGGTTCACAGCACATGTTACCTGGCTCTGTTGTGGTCATCGAACGTAAATGCCGTGGCTCAAGAGTTCCTCTGTGAGCTGAAATGGAAAAGGCTACTTTCTGCCTGTATTTCTGTTACTGTTTTTCATTTAATTAACTTTATTTTATTTTATTTATTTATTTATCCTATATAAAGATGACCGGTAAGGGGATCTCAACCCTTGGCTTGGTGTTGTCAGCACCACGCTCAGCCAGTGAGCAAACCGGCCATCCCTATATAGGACCCGACCCCGTGGCCTTGGTGTTATCAGCACCGCACTCTACCGAGTGAGCCACGGGCCGGCCTTAATTAACTTATTTTATTTTATTTTATTTTATTTTATTTATTTATTTATTTATTTTTAAAAGATGACCAGTAAGGGGATCTTAACCCTTGACTTGGTGTTGTCAGCACCACGCCCAGCCAGTGAGCAAACCAGCCATCCCTATATGGGATCCGAACCTGTGGCCTTGGTGTTATCAGCACCACACTCTCCCGAGTGAGCCACAGGCCGGCCCTTTAATTAACTTATTTTAGAACATGTTTAGATTTACAGAAAAACAGTGAAGATAGTACAGAGTTCCTGTATACACCACACCCACTTTCACCTATTATTAACATCTTACATCTCTTATGAATGTTTCAATTAATGAACCAATATTGATATATCAGTATTAACTAAAGTTCATACTTTATTCAGATTTTTTTCACTTTTCCTCTAATATTCTCTTTCTGTTCCAGGACCCCTTCTAGGATTCTATATTACATTTAGTTGTCATGTCTCCATAGGCTCCTCTTGGCTGTGACAGTTTCTCAGACTTTCCCTGTTTTTGGTTACCTTGACAGTTTTGAGTTTTCTGTAACATTTTTGATTTTGACAGGAATTTGTGCTTGTAAAATAACATGCATTGCATTCAAGCAAAGTAAACAACTGCCTGTTTTAGCTTAATTTCTAGGCTCTTATTGCCCTTTCCTCAGAAGAATTATGCTTTTTTCATAGGCTTGCTTTGTTTCTCTGTTCTTGCCTTCTTTTAGATTAATCAAGTATTTTTAGTATCCTGTTTTATCTCCTCTATAGCCTTTTAAATTTAATCTCTTTGTATTATTTTTTAGTGGTTATAGAGATTACAGTATAAATTCTTAACTTATCGTAGTCCGTCATGAATTAATTAATATTATACCACTACACAATAATGTTAGAGCCATACAACAGTATAATTCCATTTACTTCCCTTATCCTTTCATGCTATTGTATATTTTACTTCTGTGTATGTTATAAACCCCACAATATATTGATGTGTTTGCCTTAAATAGTAAGTAATCTTTTTTAATAATTTATTTTGAAATATTTTCAGATTCGCAGAAAAACTGCAGGAATAGGACAAAGAACTTCATATCCCCTTTACCCAGATCCCCTGTTGTCAACATTCTGATGCACCTGTTCCATCACACCTCTCTATGATATGTGGGTGGACATATATACACATACAGCCATATTGCATATATACCCATTGTCATTAGTGCTTGTCCGATCATTTGAGAGTAAGCTGCAGACCTGATGCCTTATCACCTGTAAGCATTTCAGAGCATATAGTCTCAAAAAACAAAAGCACCCTCCTGCATCAACCCTGTACATCAGGATGCAACACAGATGCAATACCACTTCAGTCAGATTTTGCCAGCTACCCCAGTAACGGCTCTCTTTCCTTTCTGGTCCAGGATCTGTCCAGGAATATGAGTTGTGTTCACTTATCATGTATCTTCAGTCTGGAACAGTTCTTCAATCCTTCTCTGTCCCTCATCCCTCATGCCCTTGACCTTGGTATTACAAGGGTATGCTCTAACCAGCTGAGCTAAGTGGCCAGCCCCTTGACTGTTTTAAAGAATACAGGCTTTTCACTCTGTGGAATTATCCTCAACCTGGGTTCAACTAACTTTTTCTTATGATCAGACTCAGGTCATACATTTTTTTTAAAAAAACAGCTGTATTGGGATGTCATTTGCATACCATACCAGTCATCCTTGTCAAGGCCTTCAGTCTATTCACAGAGTTACACATCCATCGCCACAACTGGGTCATACATTTTTGGTAGGAAGGCTACAGAAATGATGCCAGGCTCTCTGCAGAGTACCACATCATGGCTTGCCTTTCCTACGTCTGTTGGTGAAAACCCTAATCACCCAGTTATGTTGGTGTCCTCTAAGCATCTCTACCACAGAGTCCCCATTTTCCAGACCAGTGCTCTGTGAGGTGATGGGTTCTGAGATTATGCCAGTATCCTGTTTATGTCAGACCTCCACCTACCAGGCTTAGCATCCATTGACAAATACTGCTGGAGTCAGCCACCACCATAATGGTTGCTAAATGGTGATTTTTCTTTCCATTATCCTTCTGCATTTAGTTGGCTTTCTACCACCAGGAAGAGCTTTTCCTCCTCCCCTATTTATTTATTTACTCAACTACTTTTATGTATTTTTATATATGTACATATGTGTATCAGTTTAGACTCATGAACTTCTATTATATTCAGTGGGATACTTTTTTTTTTTAAAGATGACCAGTAAGGGGATCTCAACCCTTGGCTTGGTGTTGTCAGCACCATG